ATACAGACACACTCATACACAATACACATATACACACACACACTCATACACAATACACAGATACACACATAGACACACTCATAACACACACACTCATACACAATCCATATATACACACATAGACACACTCATAACACACACTCATACACAATACATATATACACACACACACACTCATACACAATACACATATACACACATACAGACACACTCATACACAATACACATATACACACACACCCATACACAATACACATACACATATACACACATACAGACACACTCATACCACACACACAGACACACTCATAACTCATACAGACACACTCATAACACACACACACACTCATAACACACACACACACACACACACACGCACACACCCCTCGGTGGTGGGGCTACAACCCATAAAGGAGAGACTCTTCCTGGCCACTTCGTGCATACAGGTCAGACCCGCTAGCTATAGCGTCACATTACAGTCACTGCGGTCTTGGTGAACACACACCAAAGAGAAGCATGGGGTGGGATGAGTTTCACTGCGCCTGTAGGAGTCACAACTTTCTAACACAAGATGACAAAACTCATCTCAAGGTGCCTTGAGCAGAGAGCAATGTGTTGTAACAGAATCCTCAGGTAACTGAAAAAGGGAAACACACCCATATACTTAGTGGGTTAAGTATGGTGGGTGTACAGAGAGGGGAAGCATTCTTTATAGCCAGCAGGGATGCTTCACAGAGAAAGTGACATTTGCAGATTGATGGATGGCTGTGTCATCACAGGGAAGCTCAGGATAAACACCCAGAGAATACAGTGACTAGGGCCAATGGGAACCATTTCCTTTGTGGGGAAGGGTATGAATGTGAGCTTAGGAGTAGCCAGAGCCCCTGGATTCTCTATCTGGACCTGATCTCCTGAGGAATCTCCTGGAGCCGAGGGGTCGGCCTCTAGCACTGGACTCTGCCTGTATTGACATGGGCTGAGTCCAATGTGGCCTTGAGGCTTGGTTCATCAGACTCAAATAAGGTGACCAACATGTTCAAGGAATTAAAACACAACTTTTCTGATGCCTAGAAAGAGGCAAATATTTCAGCAATTCTCCATGTGGCACAAGAGGACCCTGCTTATAAGGGAAGAGTTGGTGACTTTAGGAAAACCCAGATGAATCTTTAAGAACCCAGGACATCCTTCTGAGATCTTCAGAAATTTTGTGAAGTGCTTCCATGATTATCCACTGGCCCCCTGACACACACACACTCTCATACACACACACACGCACACACTCACACACGCACACATACACACAAGCACACACCCATACACAAACTTTCATACAAACATACACACAATCATACACAGACACATATACACACACAGACACACGCATAACACACACACACTCACACACGCATACATACACACAAGCACACACTCATACACAAACTTTCATACAAACATACACACAATCACACACACACATATACACACACAGACACACTCATACACACACCTTCATACACGCATGATCACACACACATATACACACATGCACACACTCATACACACACCTTCATACACACAATCATAAACACACACATATACACACATGCACACACTCATACACACACTTTCATACACACATATACACACACACTCATACACAATACACATATACACACATACAGACACGCTCATACATAATACACATACACACACACACACTCATACACAGTACACATATACACACATACACACACACTCATACACAATACACATATACACACACACCCATACACAATACACATATACACACATATACACACACACACCCATACACAATACACATACACATATACACACATACACACACACTCATACACAATACACATATACACACACACCCATACACAATACACATATACACACATATACACACACACTCATACACAATACACAGATACACACATAGACACACTCATAACACATACACTCATACACAATACATATATACACACACACACTCATACACAATACACATATACACACATACAGACACACTCATACACAATACACATATACACACACACCCATACACAATACACATATACACACATATACACACACACACCCATACACAATACACATACACATATACACACATACACACACACTCATACACAATACACATATACACACACACCCATACACAATACACATATACAC